TAATTTGGTTAAAAAGTTCAATGTCTGAGACTGCGAAAAACAAATGTTAGTTCGATGGAGATGGGAAAGAATACGATAAAAGTTGATGCGCGGTGTGAATAAAGAGCCCTCCACTGAGGCGGACTCAGAACTAGTTCTGTGACATCAACTTCCAGGGCTGTTCTCTGACACAGGATGCTGCACTGCTACCCACAGAGATCAGAATAAAAAAATTAACCCGTAAAAACAAAGTTTTTCACTCTAAATCCTTTATATGCGTGGCGGCTAGAGTCATCTCGTCCTCTGGCTTGAGATGGCTGCCACCTATGGGTCAGATGATTGTCTGCCAGCATTAAGCAATTGGTAATTAAATATTTTTAACAAATTCCCTAAACAGTGAAAATTAATTGTCACACACAACGAGTCTGTGTGGAAAATGTCAGCTCGATTGGATCACGGGAAGTGGGTTAAAAAACGACCGAAAGATTTGCACGGTCGTAAGCAAGCAAGCAAGCACGCAAGCACGCAAGCGAACTTAATATAAAGGATTTAAAAATATATCCCGTCTCGTGCCCTACCAATTGCACAAATTACGTAACATCACCAGCACTGACAAAGGTAAAGCTCCCCCACATAGCCTTAACCGACTGCTGGAGCAAGTGCTGTTCAGCGAGCACCCATGAAGGCCAGCAGGGCACACAAGAAGGTAGGGGGCAGCCAGCACCGTTCCCGGCCGCCTTTGTCTCCCCAGTGCTGATATTTAAAAACGCTGGGTACTCATTTGAGGCCGAGTCAACCTTAGGGGAGGACCCATGACTAACTGGTTCAGATATTCATAACCGATGTTGGCCATGACCAGGAATAGAACTCGGGTCACCGGGTGTGTACGGCCGGCAAACCGTGTCGCCGCTCCCCACACTCGCACACTGAACAGCCGTACTTCACCACGCTGGTCAGTGCGGCTTGTCCAAGGGGGGAGTCACCCAGGACCGGTTCGGACGGTCGCACGCCACCCCGAAGTTAGCCGTGGCCTGGAATCGAACTCGGATGACAATTTTTTTTATTGCACCGCTGCGGTGGCGAAAATGTCACGATTATGTCAATACGGGGGCTTACCAACAAAGGTGCCTCGCTTTAAGCAAATGTTATTCTTTCACAGAGGTTCAATAAACCTTTACACGGTGAAAAATACCGAGGTGGTTTTTTCCTTCACCCTTTAAAATCACAACGGGGCCAACAAAGAACACTTGTGCCCTTCCTCATCTGACAGTGCGTCAAAAGACAAAGATCCCCCGCATAGCCTTAACAGAATGTTTGGGCAAGTGTTGTTTACGAGTAGCACCTGTGAAGGCCGGCACGGCGCACGAGTGGGTTGGGTGGCCAGCACCACGCCCGGCCGCCTTTGTCTCCCCGGTGGCGATGTTTACTACGCACCGCACTAGGTACTCATTTGAGGCCGAGTCGACCTACGGGAGGCCCAGGACCGGTTCATTACCTGCAGATGTCCGACCTTGGTTACAACTCGGGTGAGTTTAAAACACGCAGTACTATTAGGCTTTTGCGACCAATATTATCCATAATAAATGTTTTTTTGGGTTAGAGCGCGTGGATATAAATGTGCAGTTAAACCCGCCACCGCGCGACACAGCCGATCAGTAACGCTCGTCACGTAAATGAAACGTGCAAATTAATTACTAGTTCAGCACACGCCGGTTTGTGTGTTGGAGACGAAACCCACGACAACGTTGACAATCCCGAGTATCACGATTACGACGAACCTCGTCAGGCGACTGGCCAGAGTTGTGGAGAAACCTTCCCCCTGACGAACGTCCCCCCCACCCCCGCTCGCTCCGAAAGCGCAGCGGGAGGCGTTTGACCTTCAAAAAGCAGAGCTTGCGCTCCCGGACAGGTTTTTTGGGCCCGGCAAGTTTTGCCCGAGCTGCTGTTGAAACCGTTTTTGGACGTCCGCACGTCCAACGTCGCGCCGTGTTCGTCGGCTATCGGAACCCCAATGACAACAACAACCGTGTGACAACAACAACAACGCCGCCAAGGAGGACGAGGAGTGGGAAGGTGTGGGGGATATCTCCTTCACAAATTGGAACGATGGGGGGGGGAAGCCCAACCACCCGTCGCCCCCTCCACCCGCACCGACGCTTTGCGACTCAATCCGGATGTCAACGGGGGAAATGCACACGCGGACTGTTAAACCGCTAAACGAACGTCGCGTGTGCGCGCTCGCGGACGGGCGCTGCTGCGTGGGCGTGTGGGCGCTACCGCCACAGTCGGCGTTTAACAAGAGCGGTGGCCTTGACGCAAGCCCTGACCGACGACGGCACGCGCGCCCGTCACAGCGCCCATCGCCGCCACAGCGGCTCGTACACTCCGTTACGCTACCTTTCGCTTTGCCGTTGGAACAAAAGAAAAAAGAAAAAAGCAACGGGGGGGGGGGAGGGGGCCTACGATGGTTTGGTTAGTTCTTCGAGTCTTTCCACGGTAGCCGAGCGGACGAGTCAGCTCGTTCCGCCAGAGCACGCGTGGTCGCATTGGGGCACCAGTGACACGTGCCCAACGGTTCGCACCTCACCACCGCATTCACATTTGGGTGGTTGGCTCCCTCATCGTTCCAATTTATGAAGGAGATATCCCCACAACTTGCTCCTCCTCCTCCTTCGCGGCATTGTTGTCGTTGTTGTCGTCAGAATGCGGTTGTTGTTGTCATCGTCATGGTCGTCGGGGAACGGTTGTTGTTGTCGTCGTCGGGACGCGGTTGTTGTCATTGTCTTCGGGAACTCGGTTGTTGTTGTTGTTGTTGTCATCTTCATTGTCGTCGGGGAACGGTTGTTGTTGTCGTCGTCGGGACGCGGTTGTTGGGAGCGGCCCCCACTGGCGTCGTCGGGGCAGCAGAGACCAACGACGGCCGTTCCTTCGCCGGCTCCTCGGTACGGGGCTCTGGTTTTGCACGCCCGCCGTTTCCTCCAAATCCCCCCCCCCCCCCCCCCCCCCCCCCCCCCCCGAAGCCGCCCCCCCGACCGAAGCCGCCCCCCCCCCCCCCCCCCCCGAAAGGCCCCTTCCCCCCCGAAGCCCCCCTCCCCCCGAACACGCGACTTGGTGGCATGGGGGGGGGTGCATTTTGGCTGCTAAAACTAACTAACTTGATTTTACCAGGTAAGGCCCACTGAGCGATGCGAGCTCTTTGTCACAAGTGACCCGGCCATCACGAAACGATAGCTCAACCAAGGTGGCTCATCGTCAACGTGCGGAAACGTATTGCAGCCAAATGCACCGAACGCATGGCCTTGTCGATTCTAAACGTGGAGTGAAAGATCGGAGGACCCGGAGAAAAATCCACGCGACCACGGGGAGAGAGAGAGAGACACGCAAACTCCATCTATACAGCAGGCATCGGGGGTCGGGATCAAACCCACGACCTCCTGTATGCCTGGTGACGGAGTTAACATCTCGTATTCACAAAGCGGGCTTCTTGGTTTCAGACGGCAGGGTTGTTGGTGGGGATTTGAGGTTTGATATGAAGAGGGGCAACGATGCTCCTCATCCTACTCACCGCCAACAACTACGACGATGACTCTGCATCTCTCTGAGCTGGCTTTGACCGTCAGGGTATCATCAGCAGAATTGGGTGGGGGGGGAGGGTTGGGAAATACTTGCTGTGGTTGCGAACTATGCCGAGCCATCGTTTGTAAAAAGAAAGCACAACAACAATGTTGTCCACTCATAGCTGAGGAATCACAGGTATGAGCGAAACAACGACGAGGGACATGTCAACATGTTTTTTAAAAATTCCCCTTTCATGAAAATTACGCTGTTGTGTGTGGCTTTTTAAGGGGCTTCTGCCGTTTCATCACATGTTGCGTACGATGAAACGACGTCTCCCGAACCTGATCAGGGGGCGAACGTCGCCTCTCTGTCGCGGCTCTGGTCATCTGGAATTCACTGCCCCCATAGACTAAATGCCCGCAGACTCGCACAGACCCGCAGACTCGCACAGAGACCTATAGACTCACACAGAGACCCACAGACTTGCACAGAGACCTATAGACTCACACAGAGACCCTCAGACTTGCACAGAGACCTATAGACTCACACAGAGACCCTCAGACTTGCACAGAGACCTATAGACTCACACAGAGACCCTCAGACTCGCACAGAGACCTATAGACTCACACAGAGACCCACAGACTTGCACAGAGACCTATAGACTCACACAGAGACCCTCAGACTCGCACAGAGACCTATAGACTCACACAGAGACCCTCAGACTCGCACAGAGACCTATAGACTCACACAGAGACCCACAGACTTGCACAGAGACCTATAGACTCACACAGAGACCCTCAGACTCGCACAGAGACCTATAGACTCACACAGAGACCCACAGACTCGCACAGAGACCATGTCACAGCTCCAGTTGTCTGGAATTAATTGCCTGCTGCTCCTCTCTCACCGTTTGCTGTTGCAGACATACTTCAGAACTGTTTTTTGAGTATAGTTTTGTCGTCCTTCCCCCCACACCTCGAATTAGCAGGATTTGCAACATACAGTGCAAAAGAAGCTCTACATATATACATGCAGAGGCTCGCAGGTCGAATCCAGCCGGCCGCCCCGGTTAATACCGCGGCGAGTCATGGCCGTTAGTCGTTACTGCACGCCATCGGCTTCACGGTGGATGGCGAGGATCGGGAGGCATAGGCCCGGCCCGTGAGCAAATGAGCGTGTTAGCGAGAGAGCGCAAGTGTGTGTGAGCGAGCGAGCAAGCTAGCACGTGAGCGAGTGAGTGACAGCATGACTGAGTGAGTGTGTGAGCCTGTGAATGAGCGAGTGAGAGCGCGAGCGAGTGGGTAAGCGAGCGCGTTAGCAGGTGAGCAAGTGAGCGAGTGAGAGCGTGAGCGAGTGAGTGAGTGAGCGAGCGCGTTAGCACGTGAGCAAGTGAGCGAGCAAGTGAGCGAGCGAGTGACCGAGCGAGAGCGCGAGCGACCGAGTGGCGTGAATCGCGGCCGTACCTCTCCGGCTGGTAGACGTCGACGGAGCCGTTGACCTGGGCGAGCAACTCCCACAGCAGCTGGAGGTTCGAGTTCACGAAGCTCAGCTCCAGAAACACGGACTCGCGCACCTTCGTGTTGTTGGTCGCCCTGCCGCACACGGGGGACACGGAGAGATATCGATTGTCCGCTCGGGAGAGGCCCACGATTCCAGAAGAGGTTTTTTTTTTTTCCGTGACAAACCTTACTCATTGGCCGTGTCGGGTGGTGGCGGGTTTAACGACGCATTTATATTTACACGATGTAACCGCGAAAAAAACCTCTTGTGGATCATATTTGGTCGCGGAAGCCTCCTCCGTGTTAACCTAACGATTCCTGCACGTGCATTTCGGACACGTTGGACACGTGGGCAATTGTTACATTTTTAGTTATTGTTACAATGGCAACAACGGCATCACCTGTGGCCACACCACGGAGAGGAGAGTAGAGTCATGGATGGACTAATGAATGGACAAAGAGAAAGAAACGAGAGAGAGAGAGGGGAGGCCAGGATGGAAGATCCCTAAGGCCAGTGGGCAGAGGTCGCAACCGGGTACCCGATACCCGTACCCTACCCGATACCTGGCTACCCGTACCCGGCTGGGTACGGGTAGCCCGTTTGAGACACTGGTGTGGCCGGGTACGGGTAGGCCGCGAGTCACTGGTGAGTAGCCGTTTGTCACTCATTTCGGGTAGGGTACGGGTAGGGAACGGGTACCCGTACCCGGCCGCGTACGGGTACCCATTTGCGACCCTGGTGCGGCCGGGTACGGGTACGGTTAAGGAATCAAAACCCGTTTGCGACCTCTGCCAGTGGGTTCTTAACCTTTACTGCAGCCTTGCACCCTTTTGGTTCTCAATCGTGTAAAAAAAAAATGATCACGTTAATAAACACACTTAGGGTTTGATGAAGCAAAAGTAGTTGTACTTATGTGCCCGTGCTTAATTCGTGTTTCGACGATTTACCTTCTAAACAAATCTGGCCACGTCTCGCACGCCCATGGAGTGTGTGCACCCCAGGGCTCAGAGCTGCTGCCCAAGACGGGCAAAGTGGAGGGCACGGCTCAAGATGGGCAGCGCGGAGCGAGGAGCAGCAGGAAAGGGGAGGAGGAGGAAGGAGAGAAGGAATGACTGGGCCAAGATGTTGGGGGGGGGGAGGGGGGATGATGAGAGGGCGGTGATGATGAGATTAGGAGTCTGTTTTCCCAGGCGAGAGGGGAAGGGCTCACCATGGGAGTGGCCGCATAAAAGTAAAAAATTTTGATGGGAGGCTTGAGTCGATTTAGATGGAGAGACCATTACGCTCAACTACCCCGGAAAGTCCTGGGTGGCGAGCAAATATCTGAACGGTCCCGAGCACCTGCCTCCCCATCCCCCATACTGCACCGCGCTGGTCAGTGCGGGTTAGTGAAGGAGTGGGCTCAGAAACCGGCTCGCGTACAATTCGCCGACGACGTCAGCCGCAGTTGGGAATTGAACTCGAGGTCACGGCAGAAGAATTAGCCGCCACTGCCTGGGCGACGTTGGCTATGCGCGCCTACCATCATCAGTGACAGTAGCAGCAGCAGCAGCATCGTCATCATCACCACCACCAGCAGCAGCAACTATCACGTTTGTTGAGTGTCCGAGACAGTTGGCCAGGGTTCGGCGAGGGACACCGCACCCATCACTTTTGACCCTGGCAATCCGGAGAGCACCGGCGATGGATGCCCTGCGACTCGTTGCGCTCACGCGCCATGGCGCAGGTTAAAAACCACTCGCCGCGCCGTCTACGCAGAGAACGGGCGGCGGCGGCGGGAGGCACGTGAGAGATATTACTAAAACTAGAAACTATTTTTCGAATTAAAGCTTTCGTGACTGCAGGGATTCATCTTCTTGGTTCTTTGGGTAAAGTCACGTAGAATGGAAATAATAAAAATAAAACATAATAAAATAATTCTCACGACGTTTCGGCCACAACGCAAGCAGCCGTCCTCAGGTGAAGAATAGGTCTGTCGAGAAGGTCTGTCGAGAAGACAGAGTCATTCACACTCTGTCTTCTCGACAGACCTGTTCTTCACCTGAGGACGGCTGCTTGCGTTGTGGCCGAAACGTCGTGAGAATTATTTTATTATGTTTTATTTTATTATTTATTATTTCCATTCTATATAAACTATTTGTTTTATTGCACCAGGTAAGGCCCGCCCCTAGCTGTGTAGCTCTTTTGACAGAAGCGACCCGGCCACAAATGACAGCTCAACGAAGTGGCTCATCATCATCAGCACGTGGACATTTAAAGTAGCATCCTAGTACTCAGAACGTGGGATGTCGATTCGAAAACGTGGAGGGTAAAACCGGAAGGAGAGAGAGAGAGAAAGAGCACGCGCTCCAAATATACAGCCAGCAGGGGTCAGGGTTGGGATCGAAACCACGACCTCCTGCATACCAGGTGAGGGAGTTAACATCTCGTCACCGTGGCTCCCTGAAAACAACGCCTGCTCAGCGGCAATAACCGATACCTATCCCGATCACACCGTCACTTGGCAGCGTGCCAAGAGGCACGGGTGGGGGTCATGGGGGGGGGGGGGGTCCGGCACGGGGGAGCCACACCTAGCAGCAAGAAATAAGAATCGCCGTCCGACCAAGTTCACTGTCCTGCTGTTGGCAGGGAGACGGAACATCGGACAACGGACACGCCGAGGGTCGCACCGCACGAGGATTGGGAGGAGGGGGAGGGTGGGGGTGGTGGTTATCCCGTCGGTTGGCAGATACGAGCAACCTACTTGCTGGACAACCTTCTCGAAAACGTCTCAAATTTCCCCCGCAGGTTGACGATGTCTTCGCGCGCTCGGTGGCTCCATCTGTGCACGATCCGCCAACTGCGTTGCTTTGCTTGGCAAAATAAAACCGGGAAGTTATCGGGGTGGTGGGGGGGGGGGGCTTCGTGTTTTTTTTTTAAAGCAGCTGAATCGGCCGCCAGCATCGAATGCTCAGAAAATATAAAAATTGTGACATCGCTGAGATGGCGATGACAAGAGGGAGGACTTCATTCAGCAGCGGATGGACCATGGCTTGCAATGGCCACAACGATGATCACACGATAGTATCGAAAACGATGACGAGGAGGACCGTGATGTTGATGATATTGAGCATGATGAAAATTATGACTATGATATTGATGAAGAAAATGATCACAGTATTGAAAATGTGATAATGATGACTGATCTTGATAATGATGATATTGATCATGACGATGACACCGATGGATTTGTCTTGGCCAGCAAGCCGTCTCGCTCACAAAAGACAAAAATCCCCCGTATAGCCTTGACAGGCTGTTTGGGGCAAGTGCTGTTAGCAAGTGGCACTTCTGAAGGGCGGCACGGCACAAAAGGGGGTCTGTGGCCAGCACCACGCCCGGCCGCCTTTGTCTCTCCCGAGTGGCGATGTTTACCACGCACCGAACCGGGTACTCTTTTGCGGCCGATTCAAACCTTACAGAGGGCCCAGGAACGGGTTCAAATAATCGCCACCGGTGTTGGCCGTGAGCGGGAATCGAACTCGGGCCGCCGGGTCAGTAGCTCAGCGTGCCAGCCCCTACCCGCTACACTACCGCTCGCACAAACACACACCGAGAAGCTGTACCGCCTGGCACCACTGTGCGACACCTCAATGGCCCTTGATGACCACCAGAGCCGAAACTCCGAAGGGCCCCGGGGGCCGATGGGCAGGCGATGTACAAAGCTTCCCCCCCCCCACCGCTCCCTTCCCGACACGGCAAATAAGGTGGCTCGGCAACAGCAAAAGTTACTGAGCAGGCGAGGCAGCCCGGGATCGATTCCCGGCCGTGGCCAGCTAAGGTGCGTCCTGAGCAGCCCCGATGCCCCCCCCCACCCCACCCTGTCCCCACTCCTGCACCAACCCGCAATAACCAGCGTGGTGAAGTATGGCCATCAAAGGGACCCCAATGAGGTTCGACTTCCGAGTGTTCACTTTAAATCGACTTGTAGTAGGCGTGCAAAAATTTAACGATTCGCTAAGATAGCAGAGGGCGTGGAGGGGAGTGGTGTGAGATGAGAGGGGAGAGGTAGGAGAGTGCGTGGAGGGGAGTAGAGTGAGATGACAGGGGAGAGGTAGGAGAGTGCGTGGAGGGGAGTAGAGTGAGATGAGAGGGGAGAGGTAGGAGAGTGCATGGAGGGGAGTGGAGTGAGATAAGAGGGGAGAGGTATGAGAGTGCGTGGAGGGGAGTGGAGTGAGATGACAGGGGAGAGGTAGGAGAGTGCGTGGAGGGGAGTAGAGTGAGATGAGAGGGGAGAGGTAGGAGAGTGCATGGAGGGGAGTGGAGTGAGATAAGAGGGGAGAGGTATGAGAGTGCGTGGAGGGGAGTGGAGTGAGATGAGAGGGGAGAGGTAGGAGAGTGCGTGGAGGGGAGTAGAGTGAGATGAGAGGGGAGAGGTAGGAGAGTGCGTGGAGGGGAGTGGAGTGAGATGAGAGGGGAGAGGTAGGAGAGTGCGTGGAGGGGAGTGGAGTGAGATGAGAGGGGAGAGGTAGGAGAGTGCGTGGACGGGAGTGGAGTGAGATGAGAGGGACCGGTTAGACAATCGTCACCCGGTGTTGGCCAGCGAGCGGGAATCGAACTGGGCTGCCCGGGTTCCGTAGCGCAGCGTGCTAACCGATGCACCACCGCTCCCTCCCACACACACACACGCACACATTCACACGCACGCGCGTACGTGACCAACCGGCATTGTCTCGCTCGCTTGCAGTGGAAGCCGTAAACAATCCGGCTGGATCTTACGGAACCCGTTTGACGAGGCCCTCTTGCTCAACTGGGAGCTCGCAGCAGAACGCAGGAACCCAAACAGCCCTCACTGGCTGCCGACTCTCGCCGTGATTGTAGCAACGGGCAAGGGAGCGAGCAGGCCCAGGTGAAGATAGCACAACAGCAGGGCCGATTACGGCTAAAAGGCAGATTTTATTTTTTCTTAGATTGAATGTATCGATTCATGCCACTTCTCTGTGCGTGAAAAATACCTCCGCGAGTCTCAAGACTCGTTCCCAAGGAGGGCTTTCTCCTGTGCCAAGTTTTCGCAGTCGACGCGGAAATTATTCTCTGCTGCTCTTTGGTTCTTTCG